ATCCTGTTCTTGTTTCGTAAATACAGAATCTCTGGGGTATTGAGTGAGAGCATTTTGTCTATTTGTTTTCTTTGGTGAGCTGCATTATTTCTGTTTCCTCCCATCTATTCTCTCATTCTTGCTCTTTTTTCTCCTTCATTTCTTTATTTTTGTTTGCTTGCTTACTTTTTAATTTTAATTAATAATATTTATTATTTTTAGTTGGGGTCTCACTCTGTTGTCCAGGTTGGAGTGCAGGGGCACACTCATGTCTTTGACCTGCTGGGCTCCGATGATCCTTCCACTTCAGCCTTCCAAGTAGCTGGAACTACAGGAGCATGCTACCACACCCAGCTAATTTTTTATTTATTGTAGAGGTGAGGTCTTGCTAAGTTGCCTGGGCTGGTCTCGAACCTGTAGGGCTCAGGCAATCCACTCACCTTGGCTTCCCAAAGTGCTGGGATTACAGGCTGAGCCACCGAGCCCAGCCAATTAATTTTTTGAGTCAGGGCCACATGCTGTTACCCAGACTGGAGTGCAGTGGCACAATCATGGCTCACCACAACAATGACCTCCTGGGCTCAGGGGATCCAACTGCCTCAGCTTCCTGAGTAGCTGGGACTGCAGGTACGTGCCACCACATCTGAATAATGTTTAACATTTTTTTTTTGTAGAGATGAGGTGTCGCTATTTTATCCAGGCTGGTCTCGAACTCCTGGGCTCAAGCAATTCTCCCACCTAGACCTCCCAAAGCCTGGGATTACAGGTATGATCCACCATGCCCACCCTGCTTGCGTATTTTTATCTCAGCCTTTCATTCAGGGGGCTTTCACTAAATGTCTGTGAATCACTGACTGGTTATTCATGTCTAGAGTGAGGCACTAGAAAGCTGATTGGAAGATCTGAATACGAGGGGTAGGTTTGCTGACTTATATGTTTCACTCTGGGTTGATCAGGCAGTCAGCTGACTTTTCAGTGTGTGTAGGATTTTCCCAAGGACCTCAATGTCAGCATGTGCAGGAGTTTTCTCAAGGGTATCTCCCAATGAGCTGGGAGCGGATTCATTCCTAAAGCCTCTGGAAAGAAGCATACTCCTGCTGACACCTTAATTTTGGCTTCTCTTGTGAGATTCTAACCAGAGAACCCACTAAGCCACATGGTGCTTGGACTTCTGACTTCAGAAACTAATATATTTGTGTGCTGTTTTAACTGTTAAACTTGTTATGACAGCTCAGAAAGTGAATACATCAAGGATGGCCGGTTCTGTGCAAGCTTAGAGCAACCTCACACTGGCAGCATCCCCCATAGACATATAATATATCTGTCTGTCTTTATGTCTGCCTCAAAACTTCTCTGATGTCCTGGAAGCCTGCCTGGCAAAACAAGACCAGGAATACAAGGACGTTAACACTCCTACGGAACATGTTCGACCAGTGGAGGAGTGGAGTCAGCAGATCACTGTTTCAGCCTCATACCTCCTTTTTTTTTTGAGTTGGAGTCTCACTTCATTGCCCGGGCTGGAGTGCAGTGGCATGCAGGCTCATGGCCACCCCAGCATCGACCTGCTGGGCTCCAGTGATCCTTCCGCCTCAGCTTTCCAAGCAGCCGGGACTACAGGTGTGCACTACCACGCCCAGCTAAATTTTTTCATTTATTGTAGAAATGAGGTCTTGCCAAATTGCCTGGGTTGGTCTCAAACCCACGGGCTCAGACAATCCACTCACCTCGACCTCCCAAAGTGCTGCGATTACAGGTTGAGCCACCCAGTCCGGTCCATACCTCCTAATTCTGAGAGGCATTTGTACACTTCTCAGAAGGCCTGGTGGGACTAAGACCCCATTACTTACAGCAGCAAAGTCCAGATTGCACCATCAGTTTGGTTTATCTTTTGCTCTTGTCTCATTCTCTCCAATCCCTCATTCTTATTTCCTGAGATGATCTTCCAAATGACGTCTCTGCTCTCAAGTCCCTTTCTTAGTCTCTGTTAGAGGTTGATAGGCAACCAGTACTCTGCTCCATCAGCTCATCTTGCTTAGAATGGAACACTGTTTCATACTGCTATGAGGCCTCAAGGAAAACTGAAATCAGGACTCTAATACCACTGAGTTTCTCTCTGTCCCTTGTCTTTTTCCTCTAATGTCATTATCTTTAGAGAACATTAAATCTATCCCCTGTACCAGAGAGAAAAATCCCAGGGAAGCACTGAAATTGATGACCCTCAGGTCAGTGTCTATGACTGGTACAGTGGAAAATGGGGCACTATCATTTGTTCATCTTGGCTCAGAATTCTGTCCCTGGATCAAACCATCATGGCTGGGTGACAGTGTCAGCGACTCCAGACATGGTCAATAAGGCCACCATTGTGTTCAGGGCATTCCCAGAAATAGTGGAAGGATCATGAACTGGGGAAGACTTTCCACTAGTTAGTCACCACTTGCTCCATTTATCTTCCTCTTTGTCTTGGTTACCTTTATAGGCTCTCTCCTTACTCTGATCAACCCTAAAATGCTGGCATTCCTGAGTCCAATCCTTACTTTTTTTTCCTTCTCACTCTTACTCATTCCCAGAGTCATCTCATTCCGTGGTAGGCCTCATGGGATTCTCTCCAACATTTAACCCACTCCACAGATCTAATCCAATCTAGTCACAGCAATTCTATCCACCTCGGCAGCAATTTGTTTAGCATGAAAAGGCCTCAACCAGATTAGACCAATGAGGTTGAAGGAGAGGTTGGCTTAGGACTTCAGGGAAAGAAAAATCAGTCTTACTGCTGCCTATTGGATAGGAAAAGGAACCCATTGCCACAGCAACCACTTTGTGACATGAAGGGAGTTAGCTTTGTATGCAGTCAATGAGGACAGCAGAGGTGAGGACAGCAGAGTAGTGAGATACAAGCCTCTCAGGTTCCTCATGATATTGTTGGAACAGGGAATCTACCCAATCTGCCCTGCTATTGGACTTGCTGCTTTGTGAGTTGACACACTGCCATATTACTCAAGCCAAGCAGAATCAGGTATCCATGACTTGGAGTTGAAAGCATTCGACTTCATTCACATTTCCCACCATCAGTTCTCACAGATTCATCTTTCTGGGCTGTAGACCTACCGGCTACTCCCAAACTTGCTGCTCTTCCTTCTGGGTTCCCTACAATTCTTTTACTTAGGCTGAGGCGGGAGGATGGCTGGAGCCCAGCAGGTCGAGGCTGCGGTGGCCAGGAGCGGCCACTGCACTCCAGTCTGGGTGACAGAGTGAGACTCCAACTCAAAACAACAAAAAAAGAAAGAAATAAGAATCTGGCCAGACACGGTGGCTCGGCCTGTAATCCCAGCACTTTGGGAGGCCAATGAGAGTGGACTGCCTGACCCCGTGGGTTCCAGACCAGCTCGGGCAATTTGGCGAGACCTCGTCTCTACAATTAAAAAAAAAATTAGCCGGGCATGGTAGCGCGCATCTGTAGTTCCAGCTATTTGAAAGGCTGCGGTGGAAGGAACCCCGGAGCCCAGCAGGTCGATGCTGGGGTGGCCGTGAGTGTGCCACTGCACTCCAGTCTGGGCGACAAATAAGACTCCAACTCAATATATGTATATTGAGTATCAAATAAGACTCCAACTCATATATATATGAAGTAATGAACAATGCAGTGTAGGAACTCTATCAATACTGAGTGAAAAACTTATCTAGGTAGCGCACGCCTGTAATTCCGGCTACTTGGAAGGCTGAGGTGGAAGGATTGCAGGAGCCCAGCAGGTCGAGGCTGCGGTGGCCGAGAGCGTGCCACTGCCCTCCAGCCTGGGTGACAGAGTGAGACTGCAACTAAAAAAAAACTTATCTATAGACTACCACACAAGAGTCTAGTGTTCACTCAACAAACTCCTGTCAGTTCCTGTTCTGGCAGCCTGTGGTGGGTGAAAAGGTAAGACAGGAGCCTGCCCTCTGGAGCTGAGACTCCAAGAAGAACGGCCAACGTGAATTGAGGGCTTATTTTGTCGGGCCCTGCACAAAGTGCTTTATGGGAACCATCTCATGTACTTCTCACCGACCCTGGGAGGTTCTCCAAGGAAAGACCGCTGTGGAGGACACCAAGCCCGAGACCAGGCCGTCTCGGCAGTGCAAAGCGCTCCGGAGAGCAGTTCTGACCTGGGGTTTAGGTTGGCCAGAGTGACCTTGCAGGTCACGGTCTCTCTTCACCCTCCAAGGCCCATGCCAGTGTCTGCAGAGCTGACTCCTGGGGTTTTCTTGACGTCCCTTTCTTCAGCTTCAAAGGCTGCTGGGGTGCGTGAGAGAGGGTCCGACAGGGGACCTGGGGCGAATAAGGGTGGTCACCCACTGGGAGGGGGTGGGTGAGGGAAGCCAGGAGAAGGGGATCCGTGGGGAAGGAGATCCTCGGGGAGACAGAACTG